GGTGGTGTTGGTGGTGTTAGGAGTAGTGTTAGTAGTGGTGTCCGAACAGAGGAGCAACGCTCACGACAACAACCTTTGAGCCGGGCATCTAAAATGCAGCAAGTTGGCACAGTCATCTCAGTCAGACAACTCATGGCACCTGGGTCTGACCTGTGACCGCCTGTCAGTGAGCCTTCGGCACTTCACGTGGTCTCAAAGTGCACCTGGCCTGGCACAGGCGCCGTGGTCACATCACCGCTACTTAGTGGCGAATGGCAGTTGTTGTTTTTTGTATTTTTCGTATTGTGTGACTGGTGAGGATGTGAGTCCGTGTTGATGAGAGTCCGCATTGTGACGTGACGTGGGTTTAGACGTGGGTGTGTCATGCCCCTTCAACTCTGCGTGTCCCTTGCCTCTGTCTGCCGCTCTCCACGCAGAGACCCGGACCGCGCGAGAGACACCGTGAGCTCTGAGCACCCTCGTCTGCAAGTTGCTACCATGGAGGTACATGTGGCTCCTCGACTCGTGTGGTGAAGTATGGGTGGACGTGTGTTCTCCCCTCTGCGTGTGCCTACCTGTCACCTGTATACCTGGGTGTGCTTCTCCTTGCCCGCCTAAGTGTGTGCGGGTCTATCAGAGTGTCTCTCCGAGATCCTGTTGGTGTACGTGCCCGTCTACGCGTGAGCATCTACAGCGCTGTTATCTATCCACTGATGGATGAACGCCTCCCTCCCTGAGACCCTACTACCCCTCACATCCTGTGATGGAATAATCCGCCAAGCGCCGATTTCGTCGCACCATCTCTCTGGCGGCTCTCCTCTCTGATGTGTTCTGTTCCTTGGTTGTCGCTCCGTTATTATTCTTGACCGTGAGCCATTGTTGTCCCTCCTAGCCATGGCTCGTCCGGCCCGAGTCCCACTCACTCCTCTTAACAGTTTGAACGATCCCATTGACCTGCGTGTGACCTCGAAATCCACACGTCTTTCATTGTAAATCCAAGCATGGCAACTGATATTGGCCAAATATCCCAACGCTGAGAACTGGCAACATCTCGGCAGGACCCTCCTGAATGTGGAGCCCAGGATGTCAGAGATGCTGGCTCAGTGCTCGCCCACTGCACTTGCTCCAACATCTTAATCAAGCCCATGTGGTGGACCTTTGTCTTTGTGTGTGTAGATCAGCCGAGCTGGAGAGGCTCGGAGTAACGGCGAGTCTTGCACCACGTGGAGTGCGCTGTCCTCAGCGCGCACCGGCTCCATCCGCAGCAAATCGCCACAAGGTAAGAATAGAAATGAGTGACGTCAAGATGGCCACGCTGAATGGTGGGACATCACGACGGTCATGTTTCAAGGGGGACGTCACAGTGACCATGATGCATGGGGGACTTCATGGTGGCCATGTTGCATGGGTGATGTACCGTTCGAATTTTGCCGTTCTCTGGTCTAACACCGACGAGACAAGGTCATAAAGAAGGCTGTCTCTGGTGCGGGCCAGTCAGTTTCAAAGACAATGCCCATATATTATCGGAGCATGTTTGTTTGCATATTTTTCAACAAGTACGTGTGGTAAATGCAGACTTGATGCCTTGCAAAAGGTATCTATTTGGTGTTTGAACATATTAACACCTGTTTTTGTGCCAGAAAGGGTAAAAGCTATTCTTATTTCATAAAATCCTTCTTGGCATATCCTGTGTTATATTTATCTAATTCGTTAACCCCGTTTTCAAACCCAAGCAACCTAAGATGTCCTCAGAGCTGCATATAGCTGGACATCGAACAAAGATGATCACTGC